TCGATTTACCATTCACAAAGGGAGCAAAGCAGCCGTGTGTAACGGATTATTGTCTAAATCGATAGAAAATGTTTCGGTGTTTTGTCATTGAGAACAGTCTACGATTTTCATTTATAACGATGACTTATTAAAGCATGCTCAAAGACATAAATGTGTCCAGATTCAACCAGTTGTATCAAACCAAATAAAGCTTACATTAGCGTTGTAGCAATTGCTGCTTCGGTCTCCGAGATGTGTTTGCTGAAACCACGCGGTGGGGGCACTCACAATTCAAAACAGCTCTTCTGCTGTTGACATTATAAATCACCACGCGTGTCGAATGCAGGTGGGTGGCTAACCGCGAACCCAAATAACGGTTACGTCAGAAGGGAGGCAGATGTAGATCGACAGGCTATGAACTTAATAGCTCCAACTAGATCCATGTTTACGACGAAATGGAAAGCAGAACCACCAGGTAAAAACGGAGAACAATTGCACAGTAATAGCATAACCGACCAGGCGTGTGCTCATCACCAAGTGACCAAGCATATTGGTGATGTAAAAGCAACGGGTGTTAATTACAGACAGCCTTAATTAAAAATCGGAGACCAAACGTGGGCTTTGATGATCCTATGCGATCACTTTGACGTCACGAAACAAACAGCGGAACCGGAGGGGGATGTTTGGCCCGTGTTTGTCGCTCTTACAACGTCCAAACAAACAACACCAGCCCGCGGAACCCGCGAAAACGGTGTTAGGAGCGGATGCTAAACATTATCCGCATTCCTCGAGTGCTTCCATGGGTAAACAGAGTGGATAGCAACAGCAGTACCGGCTACTACGGCAACCCACATGGATTACACTACTTAATGGAGCAAGAATTCAAGAAATGAAGCGCCTGCCTAACTACCAGTATATGATAAGCCGAACTATTATAAAGCCATTAGGGCCTGGCGACATGGGACAGCAAGCATAGATTTACAAACCAAGAGGCAAAGCTGAACAAAAGAAGTCGTCCTCCTCCGAACTCCATGCCCCAAACGTCATACCTACCACCCGCGCGGCGCGACACACCCCGTACCGAATATGGGCCGTTAGTGTAAGGCGAAATGACAGAGTAGAGCCGCTGGACCGACGGCCACTCACTTAACACTCCCAACAGTCCTCACTCTTTGCTGTTACTTCTTACGTCACTCTCACTAGCCTGAAGATCACTAGAGGCCTACATAGATCGGCTCAGCAGCATATTAAGCATAAACTACATTTACTGATGTTCGAACCTGACTCATCATCTACGGCTGAAGATCCCACGCTCCCCATCTGTGACCTCACTACACCCTTGGGTATTCACAAAACTCACCGCATAATTCCACCAACTCTTCGACCAGACTTAACCAGTTTTGCGTCAATACCACCTCCTTCACTCTTTCCTTAGTCACACTCACACCCAGCCCCGGTGTCTGCCGACCGCTCCCCACCCCTTTTCCCCCGCCCTGACGCTCGCCACGCCTCGAACACCTGTGGGCTGCGAGTGCACCCTACCCGGGGCGGGGCGACTTCCCCCCCCCCCCAGAACTCCCACAGCTCTCACTCGCCGAGGTTAGACAACTGCCGCCGGCCCTCCAGACAGCAACACGACTGACGAGGGTATACGTCCGAACTCCTCGGAAATCAGGGAACTGGGCTGTAGTTCGACCCGATGATAATAATACGGGGATCGTATGGGGTGTCATGTGACAGGCGACAGACCGCATTCATCACCGCAAAGACACCACAACAAACAAGCACCGGTTCCACTCCATCGAACGTTGCAGTGTACCCCAACCCACCACACCACAGTCCTACCAACGTCCGTCGCGCCTCGACAGACCAGACACACACAGCTGGCGCAGCGGCAGGTGAAGGTACGAAAACAAACAGTTCGGGACGCACAAGGTTACGCTCTCATAGTATGCGACTGAAAATCACTATCACCGTCCAATCGCTTCAACGCCTTTATCAAAAACGCATACCGTAAGCCGGGGTGAGTTGATATGGATTTTGAGGTTTTTCTAGATTTCTTTAAAAGTCACATTCATTTACGGAATTCTTTTTGTGCCAGTTTCATTGCACATGCCTTGGGCAGGCAATCAGCAAAAATGAATAAAAAAATGTATATATTAAGCCCCTTTTTTAAAACGCCAAAGTTCATATCAACTCACCCCCTGGGGGGTGGTGAGTTGATATGGTTTTGGATTTTTCAAAATTTCTCGGCTAAAGAAGCTCAGAGGTGAGTTGATAAAATTCCAGTGTTTAAAAAAAGGATGTGAGAACACATCCTAAAAGAAACCATCAGAAAAATGGTAGTAGTTTGGCAGCAGACCTCACATTCATGAAAACGCAATCATGTCCAACACAGCGCTATCAAAATGGCTTGATTTTAGCAGCATCATTTTTTCGCTTTATGATACTTAGTTTTACTTAGAACATTCTGAACTTGGCTAGTCACGTGTCCTCAAGCCAACGGTATCAAAACTGGCAAAATATTTTGGAATTACAAGTGTATTTTCTTGTAATTAAAACACATTGTCAGTTGCGGGTCAAGGTTGATATGCCTCTGACAGAGATAATGGATTGAAATGAAATAATACATATACTTCTAAGCTTTTGTTGACTGATAGTCAACAAAATATTAATGAAGTGAAGTAAAGCGAATCTAATTCGGACTGTATTCTATAAGGTGAAATAAGCGACATAAAACAGAATTCGGCATCAAAAGCCAAAATCAACCCTCGCACTTATAGGCGGGCGAACGGACCACCTCGGCTTTTCGCACATAACTCGCGCATAAAGCGGCCGATCACGACGAAACTTTCAGTACCTCTCGAGTTTATCAATTTTACACATGTTCTAAGGATTTCATGACCCTGACTCAAATGGTTTTTGACTTGTGACCTGATTCTCGAGACCATGCTTGGCCGGAATCGCGATTTGGCGTAGTCGGCTCACATTATCCGCGCATTTCCAGTCTTTTTGTGATTGTAACGTCCAAACATGTAAATGATGTTGGTCCCACGCAGTATTGTGGGTGTCAACTGTCAAGGTCACCTGAAGGTCAGGTCAGGTCATTGACCTTTGGTGACCTCGGTTCACTTTTTGGAGTTTTACATGTTTCTAGGGTAGTTTTTTCGGGCCGATTTCGAATTTAACATGCATTTGATCAGTTATGAAGTAGTTTTAGTGCCTTCGTAACATGTTACGACACCGTCAGTGGTAGCTGACACTTGACACTCCCTATGGATAGCCGGCAGGACACCTACTGGTTGACCTGACCTGATCTGACCTGGCCTAAATGTACGAAGACATCTGTGATCAAAACTAACATGACATTCGTGATCAGCAACAGCCAAAAAATAATAAACTCCCTTTACGAACTTCAAATAACCCCCTATTTTCCCGACTTCTGGGTAATTGACCTGGCCTGGAAGGTTAACCAATGACCTAGGACATTAAAGTTGGTTATCATAGGCTTCCTCGCGTCTCGGGCAACACGCTCATTTTTTTTCCGCGAAGCTCTAGCTCCACCAGGGGCCAAACGACGATGGGATTCCAACGGACCCCCCCCCCCCCCCTATACGTTAAACGCTGGCAAAACACGAATACGGGCGAGGGCTAAACACCAGTCAATTTCTTTACATTGTTTGTTCCATTTCATTTTGTCACTCATTCTCGGTTGGCAACTGCCAAGCAGGAAAACTAATCAGTTTCACGAGATCAGAATTCCCGCGCTGTTAGCCATACAGAAATGACAGTTCTGTCATTTTCGAAACTACGAATAATTATAACAGTTTTTTAATCCGTATGTAATATAGGTGTTCTATAGTGTTCCTTTGTAGCTTGTAGGGAGCCATCTTGAGACTTGACAGGGAGTTGTGCTGTGCCTTTTGCATGTTAGGTATGTCCACAGCAAAAAACCTTGGGGTTACTGATGCTAGTTGTCGGACCTTCGTCCCCGTCTTGAGTTGAGATGTTAGTTTCACAACGTTTCGGCCAGTTACTCTCCGGCCGTCGTCACTCGTCAGGTGTTCTTTGAACCCTCAGAAGGACCTGGATGTTGGTGGCGTTGCGCCGTACGCGTCAAACAGTTCGAAAGCTCCTGTAGTCAGCGGGAATCGAACTCGGGTTTCCCCGGTGATGGTCCACGGTTGTAACCACTCCACTATCGAGGCAGATTTGACTACGGCCGGAGAAGTTACTGGCTGAAACGTTGTGAAACTAACATCTCAACTCAAGACGGGGACGAAAGTCCGACAACTAACATCAGTGATACTAACAGGCCTCGTCTCAAGCATTCAGAAAAAACTAAAGCTTTTGGGGGTTGATGGAATGATGTGGGGAAAGAAAAGGAGAAGAGTTGGTCTAATTGACTTTGTCTTACCTGCAGACCCATATTTCATGCTAATTTGCATGCCTACCAGCCTGGTATCAGCTTTTATCATGCATATCAACTCACCACCTGATGGCATATCAACTCACCACCTGTCACTTTTCTTAAAATTATAAAAAAGCGTTGTTATAGGTGAAACCCAAAACTACCTGGGATCAACAGTAAACTGATGGTAGTTTCTTTCCCAGTGCATGTTGTTTCATGAATATCCACCGTCTTTGCTGTAGGGTGGGGACTTTTCCTTAGTTTCAAAATCAGAAGAAAAAAAGGACTTTGAAAAAAGTAATGTGTAAAGAAGGCACTGCACCACATGCATGCCTTTCTCAGCTATATGCATCATTTATTGGTTGCTTCACTTCACAGAAAATTAAAACTGAAAATTGGTTTACAAATGGATGAACAGCACACATTTTAACATTTTTCGAGCAATTTATATCAACTCACCACCCCATATCAACTCACCCCGGTTTACGGTACTGACGTACACATAATTTCTGCACAAACAAGTGAAGACACAGAAAAGCACTTGCACTCGGAAAGCAATGAACAAATAAGTGAGTGATATGATCGGCATCTCGCGGTACTTACCACAAGCTGAGTTTCCTCAGGTCACCGGCAGGTGGCGGTGGTGTCACCTGCAGCACTCGGCCCGCTGTGGGCGGAGCGGGTTAGTAATGTTAGTCTCACACACCACTCACTCAAACGGTGCGCTGTTACAGGGAGATCACTCAGCAAACCGTTCGAGCGACAGTAGTAAAACACAAACAGAGACGGCAGTAGCGTCACGCTGAGCCGATTGGTGGTAAAACAAGCAGCAGAATCAACATTAGCATTGCTATAGCACATCATCACACGCAAACAGTAAGATTCTGCATTCTCCACTGTTTTGTCACGACAAGGTTGAAAACGCATGCGACAGCAGCAAAAATAGCTTCCTTGCATTTTTATAACTTTTATTCTAGACTATGAAGACCAGGGACCATCTGATGCGAGCTAAAAAAGAAACTTGATCAGTAGCCAAAGGCAAATAGTGCTATTAAAAAAGTCATCTTAGGTGGCGCATAGACTGGCTGCTGCGATAATATTTGCGCTGAAGCTGCGTTCTTTATGACTGAAACGTCCGGCCCTTTCAAGTCGGGGTTCACCCATCATTTTGGCGGGAGCCGACAGCCAGAGATCAATCACGCGGGATTTAGAATCGCCTGCGATACCGGCCATACTTCTCGAGATCAGGTTCTTTTCCCTTGGAGCACACCACACAGTTGAGCAGGTCGCAAGTAAGGAATCAACATTTTAGCAAGATAAGACGGGTTTGGAATTAATAGCGAAATCACATCAAACACTTAGTGCGGAACACCAACGATGAGTTACACCTGGATGTGGAATTTGACATAAATACGCAAAAACCAACTTAAATATATAATTCATGCCCGAGTCCAATTATCAGACCATTCACAGTCGTAAAAATTAAGCTTCATTCAACGAACTTCGATTCACGTCATTCGACTTCCCATGTATTCCGTCTATTTTGGAAGCGGACTTTATAGTAAATCAAAGTAGAAGCGAATGACATACTATCAAAGCTATTTCACACTGCAGCACAAACGACCGGCGACCGTGGGCTCATAAACCTCGCTTTGACCATTACAACACAAACATAAATATTGATGAACTAAACACGGGGGTACACAGCGATGCTCCCTCGGTAATATCATTTTTCCGAACGTTGTAAACAGGCAATGATGACATTAAATCAATGCAAAGCGAACTTTGTCATCGATCTCGCATTGCTATTCAGGACTAATTGCATCAAACAAAACGAGGCAAATTAACTTTGGAACGTTGCGAACAAATTAGCACTCCACAAGATCACTTTTAGTGCAAATAATACTATGACTGCACGGAATACATGCAAAACAACAAAAAGCTACACCGACAAAATCACTGAACCATGTCACCATGCGTCACGATAGACCAGCACAGCAAACCATGCCTTCAAACCACGCCCACCCTATGATCCCCAACCCACCAGCTGCAGCCTTCCCTCTCTCCCTCTCCCTTCCTCTCACCTTGTGTCCCCTCGCGGCGGCCTGGGCGGCAGCCACTCTCCAGGGGGGCTCCAGCATGGTAAGCGGCGCTCCGTACGCGGCCGGGCCGGCTCCCTCCCCCACCAGCACCTCTCCAGCCTCCTCCGGTCGCCGTCCGCGGTCCCGGAGGACTCTCTGCTCGGCCGCCACACGCGCCATGGCGTCCTCAATGAGATCCCGGGCCGTGAGATTTGGTCCGGGCACCGGCAACGGCGGCTGCTGCTCCGAGCAGGCTGTCCGGCGAGCGGGGCGGGCGGGGCGCACGGGACTGTCAGGTGGAGGGGCGGACGGTTGTAGCGATGGGTCAGGGGAGGGTGGGGAGGAAGAGTGCAGGCAGGATGACCACGGGACACCCATTGTAGCGGCGGGGTCGATGGATGTGGCATGAGGTACTCGCACTCGCTAGTCAGTCAGACGGACTTGCTGGAGCCGCAACGGTCACCACGGTCGCAATACGCAGGTTCAGGTTCACCACACTACCACACACCAAATTAATCAGTAACGACACTGACGCCGCCATAGTCTTTCTCAGTCATTCAGCGTTGAGAGCCTAGCACGCCAACACCACCACCGACCCACACCTCTTCTCACACACTGCCTACGCACCACACTGATTCACATTCGCATCACACGCGCCGTCCAAACCGGCACACCTGTGCTCCGCCCGACCACCACGCGTCCGATGACACAAAGACCAGCCCGGGTGCCGACAGGCCCACCCACCCGACCTGTGCCGTCAGCAGGATGACAAATGCGTTCATTGAGCACTGGAGGCGGGCCAACTGACGCACGGTTACTGGGCGGCGGGGGCGGGGGGCGGTGGTGACCAGAGACAGACCGTCATGGCTCGGGGGGAACGGTCACAGGTCATTTGGCGAGCTGGAACCGCTGGCGCCGTGGGGTCGGACCCGGGCGCCAGACCCAGTCACGGCGGATGCCGCCGGAGACGCCAGCACGCGTCTGGAGACGCTGATCTATAGCATCCGGGGGAGGTGTCGTTATTCAGTGGGGCGACGGGACGTCAGAGAATGAGGGAAAGTGGATGGGGAGGGTTGATGTGGGGTCTCTGACTGACGGGTTGGTTCTTAGTGTGGTTAGTGACTGGGGATTCTGTGCATGGCATAATAAAATGGATAAGTGTCGACAATAGCGCGGATGATAGGATATCCCATTCGAATATTGATTTCAAGATGTGTAACAACTATAGATTGCAACTACATACTCGTAAATGCAAATACCGAACAAGTTAAACTATACTTAACGACGGAAAACGAGTTATGGAGGAGAACGCTCGACGAGATCAGCAGTTAAGTGGCGACCATGACCTCACAACTCCGCGATCTATGCACCGTTGCCAAGTCGCACTGTGTCCCTGCCCAGTACCCAGACTGAGATCTAACCGTCCGGATCGGCCGCAGAGCTAACTTGGCACCGTGACCGGTCTGCGCGCCCTGCCAGGAGGGCGGTCAGCCGCCGCAGCGGCAGCGTGCATCCCCAGGTGTCGGCACAGCGGCGCCCTAAGCCCGGAGTCGATCCGCGAGGAGTCGATTAATAAACCCCGGCCCGGGGTGCCTGCGTCATCGGGCCAAATCTCCGCACGTGGCTGGGAGTTCAGTCGGGTCGGGTTACACCGACAGGTGCGCTTCATTCAGGTCGAACGGCTGGTTGCAACACCGCTCGAATATAACGAAACATCACACAAAGTCGGATCACACCAGGGAAGCCGATCCCACCCCAAAACTACAAACGATCACTGGCTTACGTTCACAGAGGGGCATTCAAACAACCCAGATTCGTTCCATTTCAACACAATCACACATCAAAGCATCCCCGTGCCATTTCCACCTATCCCCCAACTGGACCGCTCTCGCGCTCTCACCTGGGTCGGGCTTTCCAAAGTAGCGGTGCTCCAGGACCAACTCCTGGGGTGACACCAGCTGACCATGTTTGGCGCGCGCTCGGAACAGAAATCGGCCCTCGTGCCATCCGTCCGTTCCACCGCGAGGTAGCTCGTAGTCCTGGCGAGACAGAGGGCACGGGAGATTAGACATACATTGCAGTACGGATATGTCTCCAATGCCTAGCACATGTGAATCTAACTAGTGCAAAACAGTGGGTCGGTGCTCTCGTTAAAGAATTGGTAGTATGAACTACACCTTTACCTTCCGGGCTTCGAGTGTGTTCAGATCCAATAGCACTCGTAGCAGCGCGGATCAGAGTCCTTCAGCGACAAGCGCCGACAATAGCGACTAGACAAATAAGCACGCCAAACAGAGCCCAACAGAGCCGCTGAGCGAGAGTGGGGTACTACTGATCGGAATGCCTTACACCCGGCCAAAGAATACAACGTTACGGGCAAACAATCAAACAAACACGACTTACTAAAAAAGCACGCGACTCTCACTCGCCACAGTCAACCATATGCAATTTGTCAACATCTCCAACCCTCCCCCCCAGTGGTGTCGCCAATAGTAACACACGCTATACCACGCAGTCATGAATCATGCGCGAGCATCAAACAGCATCCACAAATCGACGGCGACTGAAATAACAACCCAGCTACACACGACGTAACGAGCCTGAGACGCACCGTCATCTCTCATCACACTCTACGTGGCGGAAAGTGAATGATGGCACTGCGGTGAGGACTGATGACGCTGTGGAGAGGACTGATAGTGTCAGCGTGTCAGCCACCACGGCCGGCTGACACGGCAGTCATCAGCAGTGTCCCATTAACACCCCTTAATTACGCTCCTCGGAACTGAGATCCAGCATTACGTCGTGGGCTGACGGTTCCGGACAACGTTACGGAAGATCTCGTAATGGTGCGCTGATATTTATCGAGCACCGTGTATTACGAGGGTGGCCGGCGAAGGGTGTCGTATTATTCATAAGGTTATCTTGATCATTTCACATTTGCACTTGAATTGCAATCCCCATTCCCCAGCCATCGACCTGGCTACTGCCAATGTACTTTAAATCAACGCTTTAGGGTCTTGCTTTCAATAGGGCTTGGATAGATTTCGACTAAAGCAGTATCAGACTACAGCGAATATTTCCGTTTCCGCTACGATGGATTTTTAGGATCGGTTTCAGTGGAAATTTCAGCGCCTGCTTTTGTAGGATTACCTATTTTCCGATCCCTACGACCAATTTGGTGACGCTTTTAACTTTCAGTGGATATTTCAGTGTGGGCTCAGTAAACATTCCAGAAATGATTTCCGTCAATATTCTTGTCGCTTTCCTTTGTTATTTCAACTTGGTTCACTGGTTTTCGTTGGCTGAGGTTTTTGTCACCACCAGTAAAAGTTGAGTCAGTTTCGGTTGACATTTCAGCATCTTCAGTGAATAATTATATGTCGTTTTCCATGGACATTTCTGTGTCGATTTCAGTGAATAATGCTATGTCGGTTTCGATGGATAGTTCAACGTCGAATGCAACGAATATTTGTGTCGGTTTCAATGGATACTTCAATGTCAGTTTCAGTGAATAATCATGTGTCGAGTTCGTTGGATATTTCGGTGTCGAGTTCAGTGAATAATTCTGTACCGGTTTCAGCGACTATTTCGGTGTCGATATCAGTGAATAACTTCGTGTCGGTTTCGGTGGTTTCGCCGCGGTCTCCAGTCGGGATGATGGATGTGCCAAACATAAACAAACAGTGTCTGGCGGCCGGGCCGGCGGGCCAAGTGGGCCGCCGACCGACCTGCAGACTGCACCCCGCCCCCTCCCCGGTGACCCAGGCACCTACCCTCCCCCATAGTCACCCAGGTGACAGAGTTAGAGAAAACTTATCTTAAGTGCATTGTTTACTAACCAGTGCCCTGAGCAAGGGTTGTTACCCAGCCCTGCGACTGAACGAGAGAGGAAAACCAAGGGTGTAAGGCACTATCGATCCTGCAGCTCAGTCCGTAGAACGCTGAACTCCGCATGGTGAGAGCATGTCTCCCGGTTATGAAAGTCCGGGGTTCGAAGTGCAACGGCGCTCGATGTTTATTAGGCTCATCACAATGCTCATCACGGGTATGATTGCGGTTGGTGGCAGGTCATAGCCAATCAAAAAGTCAGTGAAGGGGATATGTCATATGCGGCTATGGGCACACATTAAACTTCAGACTCTAAATTTTTCCATACACCAGGAATGGTGTGAGAGAAGGGTAGAGGGTGAGACCAAAGCAACACACTCACTCTGCTCAATAGGAGCAGAGTGTCACTGAGTTAGAGTCGGGGGCAGAGTCACTGCCCGGAGAATCTTTCCATCCATAGGGCTGATTAAATTTAGGAAAAAGCTGACAGGCTGCACAGTGACTTCTCATTTTTTTAAGGCAGTACAAGGCACCAATCCCCAATCTCAAAACATTGCGTGCTAGGGCAGATGAGGGCTTCTTATTCAAGACTTACCAGTTCTATGCCAACAGTGGTGCCAGAGCGTAGCTGGGGCAGCTCGCCCAACCAGCGGACTGTGCCCAGACGAGTGCCCAGGCTTCCCAGCCACACCACCCGATCAGAGACAGAGAAAACTGAGGCATATGCCCCTGCTCCACCTGTGTCAGCCTCTGACGACATTGGTGCAAGGCTGAAAAGGAGAAGACAGAACACACTAGTTAGTGCCTAGTTGTAGTGGCACTTGGCAGCCATTATAAGCCATAAGCCAGCCGGCAGCCGCCAGGTGATATAACCAAATAAGTCAAAGTACATCTCATAACAGTAGCCTGCTAGCAATGGCCATTAGCCCATTAGCCTGATTGTCATGAAGCATCAGCATTTCTTCATGGTAGTGTGTCAAGCAAGCCAAATCAAACAGTTTTGGTCAGTACCTACCTACCTATGTTATTAAGCACCCACCAGCTTCCAGATTACCATGATAACCTTATGATCCAGTGTAAAATATGTGGATTCATCAAATCAATAAACAAGTCATGGTGGTGATAGATTGCAATGCCTGATTGAAAAAAAAATGTTCAAGTTGTGACTTTGCGAGCATTTACTCGAGTAACCTACAAAACAGCGGCCTAGGGCCTAGGCAGACACCTACCTTATCAAGATCAATGAACGTAGACTGAAAAACTGACGCTTATTTCTTGCCAGGGGTGCATTATGAAAAATAATTTAAAAGATAAATGTTAGGGCAATATTGATATGTCGAATGGCCTGTCCACACACACGGCGCGCGGCCACCACCTCCACCCACAGCAAATCTTCCAAACAAGACTTCGCCTCTGCTGCGTCAAAACGGGCTAATGCTGATAGTGATGTAAAGTACCAATCTAATAGTGCTGGGCAAGGTCCCTTTGCGGCAGTTCCAGTACGATTACCAAGCCTACGGGACCAGTACCTAGCAAACTGAACTGAAACGACTGAAACACAATTTGGCGACGTTCCGGACCAATAACGTTCAAATTTTGATGCAAGCAACCGTGGGTGGACATTGTTTTAGATATTGCTATATTTCTCCTCCAATGTCCCACATCCTTCCATCGGCATCGATAGCCAGCTATAGCCATATGGCCCACCTATTATAATTCTCGTCTCCGCGACGTAACGTAGGCACCAGAGAATGCATGTCTAGATATTTCCATTTCCAGGCTCCACGCTCAGTTACCGTTCCGTGCCGTTCCAAATCACTCAGAACTGAAACCTGTAGAGATTCAGCGCTTGGAAGTGTAGTTACCTCTAACAGCCGTTCAAAGGAACTCTAATTATACGGCATACGTCGGTCATCTATTACCTATCACAGTACGGTTCTGATCAAATCATGACAAAACTACGGGACACATACCGCAAAATTGAACGTAGGTAGTTAGCATCATAACAAAACGGCATGCATGTTTTGCATCCCACGTCAAAAAGGAATAAGAGTGGGTAGTTTATGAGTACAACAATGTATTGCAAACAAATTAAACAAACCATATGCACGGGTTATAATTGCAATTCGGATAAAACATCTCGCAATATTGCTCTAAACAGCTCATTATTGACAGAAAGTACAACGATCAACGTCTGGATAAAGCTATAATTCGTCCTACTAAAAACCACAGACGCCTTATCATTCGGAGTCACAAACATTTTGCAACGATCTCGTAAAAGGCCTGTCGGCATATTGACTCCTAAATTTCAAATATCACACAAAAACGCATCACCCCCCCCCCCCCCCGAGCCCGGCACACAAAGAGTGCATATACGAGCCACAGCCTGTCGAATTCCGCAGTCTCCGCGGGCGGCGGTCACTGCCACTCCACCTGTAACTGCCACCCGTTACCCTCTGCCAGTCTGCGCACCTCGGCCGCGTCCCTCCTGGACAGCTGCGGACACATCACCATCTTGAGTGTCTCCAGTCGCGGGCACTGCAGCACGAGTCGCTGCAGCGGCTCCACAGTCACCTGTCCGCAGTGTTCCAGTGAGAGCGACTCCAGCTGCGCCAGCCCGCCGGCGTCCAGTGCCTCCTCCAGCAGTGCGTCTGTGATGGTATCACAGTTCTGTAGGGTGATGGTGGTTAGCACGGGAGAGGCCAGCGCGCGCCGGAGTAGGTCGATAGGAGGCGCCCCGTCACTTTCCTCTGCCAGCCAAAGGTGCTCTAAGTGAGACAGAGGTCCACCCGGCGCCGCCTCCGACCTGAACCGACACATGATTAGGATCAGCGACTGCAGCGAGCGGCAGTGGCGCAGAGCAGCGGCCAGCGGGACACCCGTGATCCCATTCAGAGCGAGATTGGTCAGCCCAGCACCACGCGCGGCCAGCAGCTCCGCCAGTCCCGGGCACGGCTCACACGGTGACATCAACACCAGTTCTGTGAGCTTGCTCAGCTGTTCCGCCGCTTCCAGAGACGACTCGGGATCCATGTCGAGCCGGAGCAGGGTGCAGTCGGGACAGGCGGCGGCGGCCACCTCCAGGCCGGCGGCCGAGGAGCCCTCCAGACTGGTGAGGGCCAGCGGGGCCCGCTCCGGCTGCTGTAGCATCAGCTGGGTCACTCCCCACAGAGAGTCCGGGTGGTCAAAACTGCACGGCAAGGACGGGTTAAGTCAGTTACCAGACGCAACAGCACAGGCGGCGAAACATCTGTAGTACACTTGTCAACCGACCATCGGAAGAAAGAAGATAATGAGAACGGAGAATACCACCTAAGTCGAATAAGGGACGATCGAGACATAATTAATAATTATCCGCTTAGCGTTTGCTTTTTCAAATTTTAAAATAAGTAACGTAAAATAAGTTCATTCCAAACCCATCATTCTTCAAATCCCTCGATTCACGCCGCTTGCAAAGAAAACTATTTTTATGTACGTGAAATTATCGTAAAATCTTTTACGTTAGCTAATTCGCGAATCGCGATCAGTTTAAGGTACAAGTCTCGCGGGTTTTAGCGGTAGCTTTTGCACCCTTCAGGCTATATCTTCGTCGTCTTAAGCTTTAAAGTCAGTAGGCGGAACTATGGTCAAGCGTACCCATTTTCGGGAACGTATTTTCGTTCCCATGTTTAGGAACGATAAACCCAAATATGGGAACGCCGTGTAGGCATTATTTAAAACAAGAAAAAGAACCGCTAAATGACGTCCAAAAAATATAAAACGATCGTGAACCGCCTGATATTTGTCTCAATATTGTTGGGAAAGAGTTTGATATTGTAAGGCCCATCGTAGTTTCAAATCGTTCCCCTATTTCTAAAGCAGTCCATCATCCGGGCCGCGAGCCCAAATTTGGGAACGCTCTCGTACACTGGCGCTGCAAGCGTTCCTTATTATGGGAACGGCGTACCCAAAATTGGGAACGATATCACCGACGCCTTTCAGGGGCTCTTTTCATTAACAAGCATCACGTCCAACGCCGCAAATTATTGTTAACGCAACAATCATCAGATGACCTTTCCGGCAAGACCGCCGCATGTTTCGCCGGGTCTTCCGCGCTCTTATTCCCGTCGATCTCGCAGCGGGCACGCCCCCCTCTGCAGGATTACGTAATTCACAACGCTCAGCGATGTTCAACAAGGTCTTCCATACCTATATCCACCGTCCGCGCCGAGGGTGGAGACATGTCAAGCACCTGTCTGTTTATCACCGATAGTTGACGAGCACAAGGAAGTATCCAAAAATGGGAACGCTGAATATGTTACACCCTCAAAACACCTAGTCCCAATGAAAATCTAGTTTTTTCCTTTCTTAATGAGTGTAAGTGGCAAAAGGCCTGGTAGGATGGGCACGAGGAATGATCGAAATCAGCATAAAAATTATAAATAAGCCACACAGAGCGACCTATATAAGAGAAATTCCCCCAAAACGATCATGCTTAGAAACACGGAAGACAAAAACCACGCTCATGACGCTCCTTATAAAACAACGCTAAACAGCTAGCATCCAAATAAAATATGTCTTTCCGGGCTGATAAAATACAGCTGAATAATTTTCGACCACTTAAACTGAGTTTACAACAGTAGTTCGGTAAAATCACTGACGTTCCACGCGGTCGTGCTCCCCGACACCAAAAGTCAACAATATTACCTCGGGACTGTCTGCGTGTTCGCTTGCATATGTCAGCATCTGGTGTCGCTAGTATGAAACTTCATAACCAGGCGAAAATTATTATACTTGACCTAAAAATGTAAAAAACGCTTCATTTTCCTTAAAATTGCATGTTAAATGTAGTATAACCCATGTTTTCACCATTCCGTCATTTCAAAAAATCATTAAAAATATCATTCGACGGTCAATTTCCTTGTTCAACGGTCAGATTAAAGATAATTTTATAGAGACTTAGTAGATACTTGAATTAGCGTGCACTTTTTTTAGACGTGATGCACTAATGAGTTTTAGTGGGCGAACGGCCGAAAAATTACCTTCCGTTCTCATAAATGGGAACGCCCGTTCCCATATTTGGGAACTCCGTTCCCAAAAATGGGAACGTTCCTATATTTGGGTACTCATGACCACAGTTCCACCTACTGAAGTGTTGAAGACGAGATCGACTTGTTGGGTAACAAGCCGGCCATGATCGTGTAAAATGGCTTCATCGTAGATCGATTAGTTTCTGAGATATAGCCGGAAATGTAAAAGTGCAAAACCTACCGCTTAATCTCGCGAGAGCCGTACCTCAACTGAAGAACCGCTAAACCCATTTCGCACCACTGAGTAAGATCGATCACTCACTGTACGAGGTTGGGCATGTTCTTGATGACGCCGAAGGCAGACTCGGGCGAGAGGTTGCAGCCCTCCACGCTGAGTTTGGTGATGGACTGTCCGGCGGTGGTGGTGCCGTGGGAGGGTACCGACGCCGCCAGACTGTTCAGACCCAGGTCCGTCACCCCTGAGCGTTGTACATCCAGCTCCCTGTGGGGACGGGGAGGTACGCCGGCCGGCGTCAGCGGACCGGCAGTCGCAGCAGTCAAAGGGGGGGGGGGGGAAGAGAGCTGGCACTGTAAGATGATGGGCGACAGCAAGAGACAGATAGCGAGGGGCATAACTCCAGAAAGGTGGTTATGTAAGGCACCTCAATCGACAGTCAAGAGCATTTGCCAGGCGTGTTATCATCTGTCTCATCAAGCCGAGAACATTGTCTGAAGCAACCAGCAGCTGATCACCACTCAGTTGCAACGCTCAATGACCGGAGCCGTGCACGTACACGGTGTAATAGTACACTCACCACCACCAGTCACCGCCAGCGGAGTTACGTGCAGAAAATTTACCGAAACTGAGCGTAATATTCTTACCGGAGCTGCATACACCGTGCAGTATCCTTATCGGAGCTGCGTGCGGCATCCGTACTGGAACTGCGTGCATTTTATTCCTCAGAGCTGCGTTCAGTACCTGGCTTCAGTACTGTTCGGCCAGTAGCCTTTGGTACTCACTGGAGCTGCGTGCAGTAGGCGCCGATGACGGACATGACCCGGTCGGACGTGTTGGTGCTGCTCAGGTTGATACTCTCCAGCCCCCGCAGGGTGGAGAAGAGCGCCAGCTGTCCCTGCAGCGGCAGCTTGGCGTTGCCGGACAGGTCCAGGTGCCGGAGATTCTGGGAAACAATGGTGGGAACTGGTGAGTAATCTGGTATAAAAAGGAAAAGGTGTAGACTGTAGATCCTGACCTTGGAAGTTGGAGACCTCGGATATAATCAGGGCTGCGGAGTGCGGAGTCGATGGATTTTCAGTGACTACGACTCCAACTCTGGCTTCCAAAAACCAACTCTGACTCCGACTCTGACTCTGGTCAGA